TGTTTTTTTAATCATATTTCTTAACACTACGGTGGGTTTCCTATGAAAGCGTGTTCGTCATTGATCAGATTACAAATCGCCTGATTCCACATTGTGTTTATCAACCAATCACGGCCTGGAATATGGTAAGCTTTGCGGCTAATAAATACGTCTGCACGAGTCTAGTTGGCAGCGAAGAATAAGCCGTTTTGTGGTGCTTGCAAGGGTGGGTGGTCTCTCCCCTGAGAGATAAACAATGTACACTACTGTAATGAAGGCTGGCCTAGAGCTAGAGGAAGACGAACTAGGCCTATAGGTTGGCTGGGTAGTACGTGTGTGTAATAGATCAGATAACAGGAAATGTAGGCTACAAGTTGCTTTTATGTGTATTAAACCACATAATATTCAAATTAGTTAGTAGCGATGAGTGTATGTGTGCAGCACATTTCGTGTCAATGTACTGTAATGCAGGCTGGCCTGACGAAGACGAATAGGCTGGGTACGTACGTGTGTGTAGGCATAGGCCCTAGTCTAGATCAGATACTACTGGAAATAAATGTATATGTGTATATGTATATATATATATGTGTATATGTATATGTATATATACAGTGTATATGTGTATATGTATATATATATATGTGTATATATATGTATGTATATATATATGTGTGTGTATGTATATATACATACAGTATATATATATATATTTATCGTATATGTATATATGTATGTATATACAGTATGTGTGTGTATGTATGTGTATACACACACATATATATATATATATATATATATAGATATATACATATATAAATATGTACATATACATATATACACATAATGTATATATATATATATATATATGTATATACGTATATATATATATATGTATATATGTATATACGTATATATATGTATATATATATATGTATATGTCCTCTATGTATATACGTATATATATATATGTATATATATATATATATGTATGTATATAGTACTGTACTGTATATATGTATACGTATACGCCGATACGTATACGCGTATATATATACACGTATATATACATATATATACACATATATACATATATATACATATATATACATACATATATATATATGGGCGAAAACAATTTGAATTGGCGAAACAAAAATCAACTACTTTAGCCATTTTGGCGAAAGCTTAAAAAAAATAATAATGTTTTTTTAAATACTTGCTGAAATACATTGTTTCTTTCGTCCGACTTCTCTATGGAAATATTTTCCCGTCGGCACGATCAAGGCCAAGATCTCCATTTTACGCTAGGCCTACTCCATTGCCAGTGCCATCATGCGACGTTTATGTGTGTTCTATTAGTGTGACTACAAACGTCACTGTGTGCATCGCAAATTATTTGTTATTTTAAAGTGGGCAGCGTAACAATCAGTGGCTGGATGGTAACGACTACAGTACCGACACAAAAGACTAAGATATCTCTATTAAAAACTAAGATATCTTTATTTTCATTGTTAATAGAGATATCATAGTTTTTAATAGAGATATCTTAATTTTAAATAGAGATATCTTAGTTTTTAATAAAGATATCTTAGTTTTTAATATAGATATCTCTATTAATAAAGATATCTTTATTAATAGAGATATCTCTATTTAAAACTAAGATATCTCTCTTTAAAACTAAGATATCTATTTAAAACTAAGATATTTCTATTAACAGAGATATCTCTGTTAATAAAGATATCTTAGTTTTGTTTCCTGCTGCAATGTCGGATGGGATAGCGTATACCTTAGAATGTGGTAGGAATCTGTTTTGGCAGCAACGGATTGATTCCAGATGTGATTAGGTTTATATATGCGCAGAGCTGTGTGTGTCCAAGGACTCTGGCTATCAATTAGTTAAAACATACTCCCACCATCCACTGTCATACTATATTTATGCTATATTTAACGAAATTATTTTGTAACAGATGTAATAACGATCAATAAAAGCTAAATATAACATTCACATGCAAATAATGATTTAGCCTTTACATCTTCATTTATTCATTTGCTATGTCAGATCATTTGTTTTGATTTTATAGATCTATACTTTTTGGATCTGTTAAATTTGTTTAATCCTACATTTCATCATATTAATCATTTTATTAATTTATATTATTTCCACTCCAATTAATTAGGTTTATATCCCAACATTGAGGTCAGTCAGGGGTTCTCGCGCTGGAAGTACTGTAGCTTGTGTCCTTGAGCAAGGTACTTTATCTACGTTTGTCTCTTTCTACCTAGGAATATTAATGGGTAACTGGTAGGTTGTTGTGGCATTAAATAATTGTACTAGTTTCGTGTGCTAAAGAATAGTGAACGACTAGATACACTTCCTAGGGAACAGAGAAAGTTGGTGCTGGTTTGCCAATGTATGCCATCCAGGGTCCAGGGGACGACTTTATCATTCACTTTTAAATAATAATAATAATAATAATAATAATTATAATAATAATAGTCGTTGTCGTCGTCAACATCATCATCATCATCATCATCATCATCATCATCATCATCATCATTCAATGCACCTTAGAAGACCACCTCCGATTAATGGTGTTGTAGTTGGTAACACCAATGTCCACCAAAACACCAAACACCAACGGCAGCTCGTTTAGTCTCTGGAGTTTCCAGGCGTGAACATATTTCACCTGTTCTCCATCATCTACACTGGTTACCAATTGACAAGCACATCACATTCAAGATTCTGCTCATTACGTACAAAGCCCAGCACAACAAGACTCCTGAATACATTTCTCAACTTCTAACGTCGCGTTCTGTAACTTGTAGTAGGTCTTTGAGATCAACGACCAATAGATTCATACTATCCGTTCCAGCATCGCGACTAAAAACTTACGGTGATAGGGCTTTTTCTGTCGCTGCACCAAGACCCTACCAGCCTCTATCCGTGAAGCAACTTCCGTTCATACATTTAAGAAGAAATTAAAAACCCACCTTTTTTAAAGTTTATCTTTATACAATAATTGTAGTTTTAGAGTTTTTAAGTGTTCTAGAGTACTTAATTCGAGTGTTTTAGAGTATTTAAGTGTTCCTTAAAGTCGCTACTCCCTTACTTGAGCCGGCGTTGCCACCTCAACAGTGAACGGTAGTAGAGCCGAGGCTTATCCAAGGTGGAAGCTACCGGAGCCCAGCATACTGTCGCCGGAGTACCTGCATGTGCCCGGTAGTGGTGGTGTCGCCGTCTCAACAACAGGAGTGCGTTTTTTCGTGCTGCAGCTTGGTTTTTTTCCTTCCCTGGTCTGCCTGTTTTTGAAGGCTTTTTTTTTTACTTATTTTTATTTATTTATTTATTTTTTATTTAATTTTATATTTGTTTACTTTATTAATTTATTTATTTACTTTATTTATTTATTATTTATTTAACTTATAACAAATATAAAAAAAATATTCTGATTAATATCTAATTAATTTAAGATATATTAATATTATTTTATTTTTTATAATTTATGGTCTTACCTTTTCTTCATCGCCTTTTGACGATTTTATTGTGGAAGGCGCACTACAAATATCCCACCATTACTATTACCATGAAAAGGCACAATAAAATATTTTTTTAGGATTTTAGCTTGGGTATACCTTACTTGCCTTAATGGTCTGCCAATGTTAAGAAGTTGCTATTTTAAGGAATTCAAATTTAACCATGGATATTATTGTCTTGTTTTATTCAATCGTCCACCCAAAATGTACCTGCCTGTAACGTTATGGGGGCCATTCACATGCATTGTGAATGTTAGTGCTCATTTTCACATGCCATTTGAACTAACTGTACCTGCATATATATGAGGTCAGCAAATACAAGCAACCTATTACTCTATGTTTTCATCCTCAACAGCCAATTTCAAAAATTATTAAAAAAAATATGGGTTCTGCTCTAAGAATTGGGTTTTTTTCTAATAAAATTTTTTACTACAGCTAATAGAGGTACATTATATCTATTCTGAGTAATATGAGACTAACTTCAACTTTCTTGCACATACACTACAAGCAGAGTTACAGAGTTGCGAGCCGAGTGACCGAGCGATAACCCAGGGTCGTTGCAGCTACAACCTTTACATTGGTGCTGGTTCCAGCCGCTCCTGCCCATGGTTTGGTTGGTAGAACCAAGTCTTCTCGGATAAGGACTTAAAATGGAGGTCCAGTGTATACACCTACAGTAGTTCGTGCGCACTTTAAAGAACCCATTGCATCTTTCGGAAGAGTAGGGAGTTACCCCGATGTTATGGTTCGTTTCAGCCCCTGTTGTTGTCTAATGATTTGAACATGTATCTACCATGAAGTGCCTCTTTACGGCTGCTAAGTAGTCACAGACCATGCCCATACGCAATTCAGCACCATGATGCTGCAATTTATGAGTATTCTCCCACCTCCTGCGGAGTTTACCTGATTTTTTGCAAAATTGTACCCAACCGGCCTTTTTTTAAGATAAATCAATTATATATTAAAGCACAACTTTGAAGATTCCTTGATAATTCGAATAGAAGCTTATAATTGGAACAGGCCCTCTGAAATCACATTTTAAAAGACCATAAACTACAAAATAATAACATTAACTTGACTATTACTGCCGAAGGTTGTTTTTAAAGCTTATATTATGTTTACATTTACGTGTTTACAGTACATCTTGCAACTGACTAACATGTCTGTCACTGCAAGGTTTCAGATATCTGTGCTGCAGGAGAATCCCAGAAAATTGCTTTGCTTAAACCAGACCATTTCAATTACACGGGGGTGTGTAGGCCTGTGTGGGTGTATGTGTGTGCCTGTACACCCATACCTTCCAATGATGTACGTGCAAATACACTCTTGTTTAGTGGTGACACACACGCAACCAATGCCGTTGCCAGTAGTCAAAATAGCTTTAAACAGTGGATTCCCTCGAAACCCTTGTGAAATATCAGAGTTTTTCATCGTGAGTCACCTATTGTTAGGAATTTTGTTCAAAGTTCATAGACACATGCTGTGTTTGTAAAAATGAACAGGGTATCATGTGAAATATTTGTCCTTGGTTATGCAGTGGCCTACACAACTTTATGGTAGTCTATAAATATCCTCTGCTTACTCACAGAAATAGCGCATTACACATATTTTTAATATAAATAAACACAGATTAACTATGTCACCACTTGTAAGGTTACATTATTAGAGTTAATATTCAAAATAAAGTATTTCTAGGAGCAATATTCAGGTGCAGATCCAGTAGGAGGAATTTTGCCACTAAATTGTTATAATTTCAATGCATATCAGCGTTATGTGCTTTCACTTATCTTTTCTGAAACTGCTGTGTCTCCCCCCCCCCCCCCCACTTTTTTGAAAAATTCTGGATCTGCCCCTGATGTAATATTTATGTCAAACAGGAAAACCCTAGAGAGCTGATGGTAACTGGTGACACCAATTATACAGTTGAATCCAAGCAACCTCAACGATAAACATAACAAGCTGCTGTTTAACCGTTTAAGCAAAGCAATTTTCTGGGATTCTCCTGCAGCACAGATATAATGATAAACATAACAAGCAAAAGAACAGCTTGGAAGAGATTTTACAGAAGAGGGGTGTGATGACATTTTGCCTTGATGATTATGTTTCTACAGCAGAAACGGACCCAAGTACATTTACTGGTAGCAATGCCATTCCAAAAGTTATCGTAGAGAATTATATTTATTTTTAGCATTCTTAAAGGAGCGACACTCCAGAAAGGCTATTTTTTACCTCCGCTTAAAGCGGTTATGTATTTTTTTGTTTGTGTGTTTGTCTGAGAACTAGCCTATAGGCCACAGTTTTTTTCAGAAACTCCTTTAACTTTGTCATAATGATTCATGACCAAGGATGTCGAGGTGATTTAGCTAGTTACCATGATAACTACATTTTTGGTAAGAGGTTGCTTACTTTTTCCAAAAAGAAACAACACTTGGGAATATGAACTGAAGTTCATGAAACGTCGGAAAGTTTATACAACAAAAAAAGAAAATTATCATAATACTATGGTAACTGATTTTTTTTTTCTTTGTAGCTGATCAGTTGGCCAACGCTATTAAGAATGTAATTCAAGATTCTCAAGGCTCAGCACGTAAGATGGCTCCCATTACTATTTAACATTTTGCAATATAACTTGTGTTTATGGAACAAATATCATCTGATCTCAGTGGAGTGGATGTGGTAGATCCTGCAAAACCATATGGTCCTAATACTTTTTAAAGCCCCAATTCCAGAATTTCTTTACAAAATATGCATATGCATTACTCTGATTATTATAAACCATTGAAAATTATTGGCATAAATTTTAGTTTGGCGCAAAAAGAGAAATAGAGACTATTGCTCATAGGAGATTACCATTTTCTCGACTACTTCGTTACTAGGCAATTCAGAGATTGTAGATCACATTCGCTGGAATGCTCTCGCTTTTGCGTATTACTGTACTTTATACAGTGAATAAAATGCGCCCTCTAATGAAATTAGATGTTGTACTTCGCATCTCGCACACTGATCGATTGAGTAGGCCTGACATGTTTGTTTAATTGTCAAAATCTCGGTCAGAATAATTTTTTAATAACTTCGAAATAATTCCAATGAAATATTATATTTCACAAGTGTCAATACAGTACAGCAATGGAAACTATATTCATATTTAGGAATGTCTAAATTCAGTTAATCTAGCAATTCCGTATTATTTCATTTCATTTATTCATCTCAAAACATTAACATTGACAATAAAGGAAACAGCAATAAGCACAAACAAATGTGAGACAGGACACCACGAAAGTAAACTTAATCACTGTCGAGTAGGGACCTTTCACAAGAAACTTTACCAAATGCATACCGTATATTTACATTAAAAAAAATATATAAACATTTAAAGTTAAAAATTTAAAACAAAATCTATAGTAAAATAGACATTATTTAAAGTTTTTGGCATTTAAAAAAATGAAAATTTCAGATGGTTCAATAAAATTTACTTTAAAATATCAAATTTAAAATGCTAGCATAAATATAAAACATATCAAAGCAATTAAGCTATTCATCGCCATAGTCAGGTCAGCTAAGAGAGAAGAAAGTTAACAATTCTATAGTAAAATAAACATTATTTAAAAGTTTGGCATTTAAAATATTAAAATTTTCAGATGATTCAATAAAATTCACTTTAAAATTTCAAATTTCAAATTTAAAATGCTAGCATAAATATAAAACATATCAAAGCAATTGGGAGAGCTATTCATATGCAAAAGTGTGGGATAAATAAATAAAACATATCAGTGATCAAAATGCACTTTGCAGTGGGGTAATTTTGTACACTACTGTACTTTTTGTACACTACTGTACTCAAAATTTTGTATCTTCACTGTTGAGGAATTAATTTTTTCAGTGAAATAAAATTAAAAAGCACTCAATCAGTTACTCGTTCAGTTATCCTAATTTGGATTTGGCAGTTAGCAGATTTTGGGGGGGAAAAAAACATAAAAACTGGATAGCCAGCACAGGGAACATGATGGCTGTTTTCAGGAGATAGCCATTCCAAAAAGGAAGGTCATCACATGCAAACAAAAATAAAAATCATGACACTCTGTGTTTCCTAAAGGAGTTAAGAACAAACTGAACATGTCAAGAGCTGGGACCCTTGTCTATGTTTACATTATTTCAAACCCTGGACTTTTTGCTGTCTGTGTAGATGCCTTTAACCAACTGTGCCATTGGGGCTTTTAGGAAGTCAAATCCGATTGTATATTCTCTTGACAGTTATTAATTTCTTTTCAGGTGATGTCCACATGGCAAACAGCATGATTATTCAAGGCGATAATGGTAATGCAAAAAAAGTCTTAACTCATGCTATTAGCAATAATTTTGATAATAGATGTTCTTGATTGCAACTTATAAAGTTGTCAACCTTGATTACTGATGATTAGGTACATCCCGTTCTTAAGCGATTGCTAAGCTGTTTGAACCAGGAGAAGGCCAACCTAATAATATTGTATTTCTGAATTTTTTTTTTTATCACAGCCCTACCTATTTCCTATCATAATATAGGCCTATAGAAAGCCTTTATTATAAAATAAAACTTCAAAATAAACTATGATGGACCTTGTTTTGGGATAGCATCTGATGAGGAGTGGGCTCCTGTTACAACCGCTAATGTAGAAAACAACAGCTAATGTAGAAACAACCGTTAATGTAGCACATTCCGCAGCTTATGTAGTAAAATTCCTCACTAATGTAGAAACACCAACAGCTTATGTAGTAAAAAGAAAGTCAACCCCAGCTAATGTAGAACGCTCAACAGCTAATGTAGAAACGAAACTTGCCTCACTCACAGCTAATGTAACTACTATCGCCAGCTAATGTAGAATATAAAATTTTTATATCAAAGGGGAACATATAATCGAGATTACCAGCTTTAAACTATTACTTTTTAAAAATTATTATCAACAGTACTACATTTCGTCTAAAATTAACCGACGTGACATTGTTTCGACAAAGTTCAGTTTGATGCCTGTTTGTTGTTTGCCATCGCACAGTATAGTCCTCAATGAATATTGTTCTATAAATAAATTACCGTATGAGATAAATTACCTCCAATGGGAATCGAACCTGTGACCTCTTGCTGTCAAGGTGAATGCCATAACCACTAAATTACCACCATTTTATAATATAGGCCCTATGTATTTTATATGGCTATATATTTTATATTTTGCTCTGACGAAGGGCTATTACCAAGTTGAGGCATTTCTCTGTGGCTGTTTACTTTAAATATAATAAGAACAGTGCCGGATTTGGGTTGTTTACTGGGGTGGGGAGGGGGGGGTGGTCAGCATCCAAAAAAAAAAGAAAAAAAGAAAGGGATAGGGTCCTCCCCCAGGAAAATTTTGATTGCTAGATGGCTTGAAATGAGCTTTCCCGACTTCTGAACAGTGTCTTTTAATTACTTTTAAGTTATTTAAAATTCAAGGTTTTATGCCCTCTTGAAACTTGAAAACGGTCAGGCAAATTTTTCTCATTCTTATTACAGTAAATAGGCCAATCATATGTGTACCAGTATAGGTCTATACAGAAAAAAAAAATGAGTACAGTAGTTGCATACGTGTTCTTTTTTTCCTTGAATCGATGAACCCCAAAGAAAGGGGTTCGGGTGTCCTCCCCGGGAAAATTTTGATTCCTAGATGGTGGGAAAGGTGTCTTTTAATTGCTTTTACGTTCTTAAAAATTCAAGGTTTTCCCCTCTTGAAAATGGTCAGGTAAACTGTATATACATAAAAAAAAATTGAGTAGTTGCATACGTATTCTTTTTGCCATGAATCGATGAGCCCCAAAGAGGACATGTGTAGGTAGAATTTTGATACTAGGTGGCGGAAAATTTCCCGACTTCTGAGGTGTCTTTTAATGACTTGTTAGTCATTAAAAGTTTAGGTTTCCTCCTTCCTGAAAACGATTTAATGAACCGATGAACCCCAAAGAGAAAGTGGGGTCCGGGTTCTACTCGGAAAATTTTTGATTCCTAGCTGGCGGAAAATGAGCTTTCCCACATCTGAAGTGTCTTTTAATGACTTTTAATTTCTTCAAAATTCAAGGTTTACCCCTCTTGAAAACGGTCAGGCAATTTTGTTCTCATTCCTATTACAGTAAGTAGGCCTATTGTGCGTGTACCGGTATATATACAGACAAAAATTTAGTATTTGCATACATATTTTTTTCTTCCATGAATCGCCCAAAAACCCCCAAAAAGAAAGGGGTTCGGTGGTCCTTCCCGGAAAAATTTTGATTCCTAGATGGTGGAAAATGAGCTTTCTCGACTTCTGATTTTCCTATTGTAACAACAAAAATTCAGCTTACGGGCCCTGAAAAAAGTAAGTCTAGAATTTTTAACATTTTTTTCCGCAAGATGGGAGGGGTGAGTGGGGTCAGGACCCCTGACCGTTCCAGATTCACCAATGCAAGATATATAAGACAGACTGGCAGACTGATGGAATGACTGACCGACCAACATTATTAGCTAGATTTGAACTTGTCACTGAGGACGAGTTAGGTGATCCGCCGCACTTTGACCCACGAGGAAGTGTGCGCGGTGCGGATTGAACAATATTTAAATGCTGATAATGGCAAAATACGCAAATTTAGTTTGTTAAAAAAGAATTTTGAGCATTTTAAAAGATTTACTCATGCGTACGCGCACGTCATGACGCACGTGCGCATCTTAATGTCACTGTTGTCTCCTGATATGAGATATATATGTATCAACTTTCATTGACAAACGCCTGTTGGTGAAGGAGTAATGATCATTCATACAGTAGTATTTATCATATATAAATATTCAGTTTTTTTACTTCAGATGGCAATATGCTGACGTCACAATGTCCGATCAGCTATTATGATATATAAAATCATATCTACAACTCATGTGCTTTTAGAATATGTAATAAAAATTGGGGGGTCACCTTTCATCCTAAGGAGCTATATTTGATTATAAATAGGCATAATTATAAGCATATGTAATTTTTGACGCACGTGTACGCGCACGTTAAGGCGCGCAAACAAAAAAGTAAGATACCTAACATTACACCTTGACCTGATGTATAACCCATTTAATATTATTCAGAAATGACGAATGGTTAAGATGATATGACGTCATCAACGTTTTGAGAAAAGAAATAATTATTTTTAAAAGAATTCAGATGGCAATATGATGACGTCACAATGTCCGATCAGCTATTATGATATATAAAATCATATCTACAGCTCATGTGCTTTCAGAATATGTAAGAAAAGTTAGGGGTCACCTTTCATCCTAAGGAGCTATAACTGATTTAAAAAAAGACATGATATAAAGCATATATTAATTTTGACGCACGCGAATGCTCGCATTATTACGCGCACACAAAAATATAATGTACATAACATTTAACCATGACCTGAAGTTTATACCCACTAAATATGATTCAGAAATAACGACTAATTAAGGTAATTATGGGGTCATCAAAGGCTTGATGAAATGAAGATGAGGGGGTAAGCAAATCCCTATATTTTGACTATGATGGCGTCATAAAAATGTAAAAAATGCTACATATATGAAAGAGAATTGCCTCAGCTACAACATACTCTAAGTTGGA